TCCGCAGTGGCTGAGCGAGTGGAGAGTGTTCGGAGGACCCAGGTGCAGGCACAGATAAGCAGACCAAATTAACTTTAAACAAAAGGCGAGCCTTTATTTGAGGCTGGAGTACATGAACTAAACTAAACGAGAACTGAACAGGGACAACAACTAAACAGGAACCTAAACTGGGAAGAAACTACTAACAGTGAGACTATGAACAAGATTGTGCCAGAACATGAGGGAACTGTGAAATATAAGAATAAGCATCATGAGCCATGACCTGCACAGAGACTTGAAACCTGACATGACATAGGGCGTGGAACACAGATGACGCGACACAGACTGAATGAAACACAGAGACTAAATACACATAAGGGATGATCAAGGGAAGTGGAAACACATGAGAGGGAACAGCTGATACACATGAACCTAATAACAGGACAGGGAAAGTGAAACTACATACACTGACATTAGACACAGACTTTCAAAGTAAAACAGGACATGGGGATTAGACGTGACCTGAACTGAACATAACCACACAGACATGATGCATGACAGGTAGGTGCACAAACCAGGGAGACTGAATACAGGAGGAGATGACATAAACACCTAAGAAACAAAGGACTAAACAGCAACCACAAAATTAACTAGATGAACTAAACTAGGGCACAAATGAATACCAAAATATATAAAAACTCAAACACCAGGTCACAGACCCAGCCCATGACACAGTAAGGTTTCATCTTCATGTTTCCCTCTCACCACATATCCAAACCGATATCATGACCAGCAGACCAGCAGCTTTTACAGCTGTGGCTCCAGCAAACACCAGCTCATAGTAGAAAGTAATATTAAATACATTCTAACAACAGCTTATCACGCTTAAACGTGCTGCTGTTGTTTATCCGCTGGTCTCCTCTTTCTAGCGCAAAGTGGGCAATAAACAAACAAGAAAGACGGACTTGCGGCAGAAAAGCCGATCAGCTGATTATTGATCATTTTCATCTTTGAAGTAATAACAGGAGAGGGAGGGGGAGTGAATGAGAGAAGTAAATGCAACTGCGCAGCAAAGACAGAATAACTCCAGCTTTGTGTCTATTTTTTAATTCTAGCTGACGTACGGGACAAATCGCTTCCTTTTCACCTCAATATGGAACTCCAATGGCCAGTCCAGCTGTGGCTCAATATATCAGTTGTTAAGCTTAACGTGGAAATACTAGGCAAACATTCAGGGATGAACTTACACACTTGCTTTACTTCTCTGGGATAGTTTTCGCCGAGATGAAATGGACAGGTCTGGAAGACTTCAGCGCTCTATCACGTGACACATACTGCTCCGATGCGCCGAGCTGGGTTATGCCAAGTAGCGCGTTTTGTGAGGTGATTTTGTGATACTTCGGATCGATTACATTTTTTTTTATTTCTCTCCGATATCCGATCCTGTGATTTAGGTCAGTATCGGACCAATACCGACATGTAATATCGGATCGGTCCATCGCTAACACAGTTTTCAGCAATACAAGTCATTTAGACTCGCGTGCTCTCTATGGTAGACTGTAATCAAACTTCTATTCTGGTAAATGGTAAAAGCCTGGAGACGGAAGGTGGGAAAAAGGAACAGGAATGTTGGGCACACA